ATGGTCTCAGCCCAGAAGTCCCTGCTGGGGCTCCCAGCGGGGGGGAGCCGGGCCAGGCAGGCCCTGCTGTTGTGGGAGCCTGCCAGGCTTCCCCTGGGTCCTACTACCCTTGGTTCCTGTCATTTTTGACAGGAACCAAGGGCAGATAAATATTAATTTTCTAAATTTTTTAGGGGCCCTGAGGACCAGATAGAATGGCCTTGCAGGCTGGATGTGGCCTATGGGCCATATTTTGCCCATCCCTAGTCTAATCAAAGGTCCCAGATTTACCCAAAGAACTTGTCTGCCTATAAGCATCACAGAATTGTTGCAAGGTCTATTACTTGAGGCAAGCTATCAAAGACAGACAACTCTTATTAGGGGGAGAAGGAAAAGGCCATCCTTCTAAGTAATATGTAGCACATTTAAGTACTTTTTATGTAGCTTTTAATCATGGCAAGAAAAAAAAGTGGGAGCAAAGGCAAAACCATTTACATAAAAATACAGAGACTTGCAAATCCATATTATTCTGACACTGAAATCATACAAAATGATATGCACTAACAATGAAAGCACATTGCATGATAGCTCAAAAGCAGTACAAATTAAAAATTAGAGATGTCAAAAAGTTATAGTTAAAAAACCATCACAAAAGAGAATTTTACCTGCTTGAGATGATCAGGAAGACTACTTACTGTTGGTTTTGTTGCTGAGCAACTGCTTTTGTGATGACAAACCAAAAAAAAAAAAGATTCAGGTTCGCAAAGTACTCAGAGAACAAAAGAAACTTTGGCTTTATTACAGTTTGTGGAGAGAGGGTCAAAGATAATCTAACACAATCAAAAACTGTTTGGAGCATGACTTGAAAGAATTCCTTGGCAACTGAAAGAACAATTCCAACTAGAGATTGATGAAGAACTCCTTTTAAATCTAAAACAGGGTAGTTTTTTTCCCCCAGAAAATTTGATATGGAGACTACAAACTTTCTTCTGTGGCATGGTTTGTATTTCTAAACCTAAATAAACTGTGAAGTAAAAATAATACGCCCCACTTTTATTTAGAGTGTTGTCACCTGTCATGCAAATAAACTATTTACATTCTAAATTCTAAAGAGTATTTCAAGGAGTCTTGACTCTCCCTCTTTTGTATCATACCTTAGCAGAACTATTTTGACTATTACCATAGGACTGATTAACTGAGTGTTGGAAATATCTGGATTGTGCTGACCCAGACAAGCTACGAAGACAAGCATATGATTTCCTATGAAAAAGCATTTTTGCCAAGGTGTACAATTTAATTTAATGTATAATATATGAGATTTTGTGGCTTTTATTCCCCCTCATCTCTACTTCTTCCTTTCTCTAACCTCCGTTATCGCAATGCATCCTCACATCCGCACTGAATTTATCTTATTTTGGGACTCATACTAACGGTGGACCCTGAGATATATAACCTTGCACACTTGGCAGTTCTAAAACAACGCAGCAAAGATGCTTTGCTTTCCAGATGATAAGTGTCAGCAG